CTTCAGAAAATACCTCTTAACTTTTGTGACAACTGATGCGTCCTCTCCTTCAGTGTCAAACTAAGCATGTAACTGTTGACAGTCACTGATCTACAATTCATTTTGCATACTGAACAACCCCAGTCAATCTGCGCGCTGTGCATAACTTCACACACACCAATGAGAGGTAGGCCTATTCCTGATCTGGCACATCTGAGTGTCACCTTCAGCATTCAAATGTTTGTAAAATGGCTTGCACAATATAAGGCTTTATTAGTTGAGTGACAACCAATGTAATTTGCTAGGTTATTTTTATCAATCTGATTGACCAGCGATAGGCCTATAGGTGCACTTGATTTTCTCTCTGGGCTTAATGCTACCTTCAGACACATGAAATGGTTCAAAATGGGAACACTTTGCTGTCCCGGCACTAGGGATGCTGAATCACATGCACCTACCGCTAACAGCGCTAAACGAAGGAATGGAGATCGACTATGAATGCCTTGGTAACCAACTACGAATGCCTTGGTAACCAACTACGAATGCCTTGGTAACCAACTACGAATGCCTTGGTAACCAACTACGAATGCCTTGGTAACCAACTACGAATGCCTTGGAGATCAACTACGAATGCCTTGGTAACCAACTACGAATGCCTTGGTAACCAACTACGAATGCCTTGGTAACCAACTACGAATGCCTTGGTAACCAACTACGAATGCCTTGGAGATCGACCAGTCGATCGGTTGGTGACCACTGATGAATAGCATGTTACTGTACAGCCACTATGTTCCCATTATTAGTGCCCAGATCGGCCATTTTCAACCCATATATGGTTACGAGAGTAAAGGGTTAAGAGCTATTACAGCTTGAGATCCGAAATCGTATTACTTTTTTATAACACAAAAAAGTTGTGGATTGTTCTCCATCCACCCTCGATTCAGAATATACAATTTTCATAGCCATGGCGTGCTTAGTTCAATAGCTATTGACGAGAAAAAACCAAATATCCACCGAATATGAAATATAAAACTAATTTGTCCTTGGTAGACGTTTCCATAAACGTACTGGCAAACGATGCGTATTAACTGTAGAGCAAGAGTCAGGGCTCTTAACAAAACTCTCCCGGCCAGAAGATACTATCCTCAACAGGTGCTAAAGGTTGAGGTGTGAACATTTTAACTTTAAAACTAAGTTGGGATCCTTAATGCTAAGAAAAAATCCCAACCGATTTTTTTTTTTTTTTTTACTGAATTAAAAATCCCAGTGCAGTTATCACAAAACATATTATTTTCTGTGTAATAGTTGCTCTAAAAAGGCCTGTGAATGTTGTGTAACTCTAATAAAACAGGAAGAGGCGAACTTTAGGCTCCTGTGTAACTCTAATAAAACAGGAAGAGGCGAACTTTAGGCTCCTGTGTAACTCTAATAAAACAGGAAGAGGCGAACTTTAGGCTCCTGTGTAACTCTAATAAAACAGGAAGAGGCGAACTTTAGGCTCCTGTGTAACTCTAATAAAACAGGAAGAGGCGAACTTTAGGCTCCTGTGTAACTCTAAATAAAACAGGGAAAAGGCGAACTTTTAGGCTCCTGTGTAACTCTAATAAAACAGGAAGAGGCAAACTTTATGGCTCCTGTGTAACTCTAATAAAACAGGAAGAGGCGAACTTTAGGCTCCTGTGTAAACTCTAATAGAACGGAAGAGGCGACTTTAGGCTCCTGTGTAACTCTAATAAAACAGGAAGAGGCGAAAACTTTAGGCTCCTGGTGTAAACTCTAATAAAACAGGAAGAGGCAACTTTAGGCTCCTTTGTAACTCTATAAAACAGAAGAGGCGACTTTAGGGCTCCTGTGTAACTCTAATAAAACAGGAAGAGAGGGCGAAACTTTAGGCTCCTGTGTAACTCTAATAACAGGAAAGGCGAACCTTAGGCTCCGTGTAACTCTAATAAAACGGAAGAGGCGAACTTTAGGCTCCTGTTAACTCTAAGAAAACAGGAAGAGGCGAACTTTAGGCTCCTGTGTAACCGTCTAATAAAAAGGAAGAGGCAAACTTTAGGCTCCTGTGTAACTCTAATAAAACAGGAAGAGGCGAACTTTAGGCTCCTGTGTAACTCTAATAAAACAGGAAGAGGCAAACTTTAGGCTCCTGTGTAACTCTAATAAAACAGGAAGAGGCGAACTTTAGGCTCCTGTGTAACTCTAATAAAACAGGAAGAGGCGAACTTTAGGCTCCTGTGTAACTCTAATAAAACAGGAAGAGGCGAACTTTAGGCTCCTGTGTAACTCTAATAAAACAGGAAGAGGCGAACTTTAGGCTACTTTGGTGAATTTGCAAGGCATGCAAGACAAGACATTGCGAGATGCAGATTACCAAAACAATATGAGCAGGCTTCTGCCTGCCCTCCTCTCTCAATTCAATTCAATTCAAATTCAATTCAATTCAAGGGCTTTATTGGCATGGGAAACGTGTGTTAACATTGCCAAAGCAGTGGAAGTAGATAGTAAAGAAAAGTGAAATAAACAATAAATATGAACAGTAAACATTACACTCAGAAGTTCCAAAAGAATAAAGACATTTCAAATTTCTCTCCCTCGCTGGCCTGGCCTGCCCATCCTCTCTCTCTCTCTCTCTCTCTCGCTGGCCTGGCCTGCCCATCCTCTCTCTCTCTCCCTCCCTCGCTGGCCTGGCCTGCCCATCCTCTCTCTCGCTGCCCTGGCCTGCCCATCCTCTCTATCTCTCCCTCGCTGGCCTGGCCTGCCCATCCTCTCTCTCGCTGCCCTGGCCTGCCCATCCTCTCTATCTCTCCCTCGCTGGCCTGGCCTGCCCATCCTCTCTCTCGCCCTGGCCTGCCCATCCTCTCTATCTCTCCCTCGCTGGCCTGGCCTGCTATTTCTCTTCACTAATGACGCCAGTGTGTGTTCAGTCTTCGGTCTGCTGCGTGTAGAATATCCTAGCATATTCATGGCACCGATGTCTCCGGGATACAGAGGTACTGTATCTTCGGGCCAGTCTTGTGAGCACGGGGTAACCTACTCTTCGTTTCTGCCTCATAATATGAAATTACAGTGGGCTACCGTTAGCCTTTATCGATTACCCTTTTCAGACATAATGGAATCTGGCCCCTTGAAAGTGGCTCGGCTACGGCAGTCTGTTAGGGTAGCTACACTACGGATTTGTAAATACCGACACGAAACCTTCCCTGGAGATATGAACGGGCATTTTACTTGTCTGTAAAGGAATGAGGCTTCTGAAACTAGAATAACGTTCACCACTAGGCGACCAGAACTCAATCAGATCATCTTGAGCACCTGCGCGCAGACCTCTCTCTCCTAAAAAAAAAAGTACTTTACGTTAAATACCGTGACTTGCCAAGATATTTAGTAGAAATAAAACGCATCTTGCTACCATACCATAACAAACGGCATTAAAACCAACACAGCAGCACATCAATCAGCGACGTTTATTGTTGTATCGAAAAAAAACACGAATATTTTATGTTGGAGCAGAATTCTGCTGTCACTTTTTTTAATTGTCTGAAAAGTCACCAATTGTTGCTATCGACTTGTTCCTGTAGCTGCGTTCTGTCTGTAAAGGCTTGTGGTAGATATAACTGAATTGCCAGGCCCTAGCGGTCATTCATACGTAATAGGACCATTATTCAGCATTGTACATTTATATGGAATTTTAAGTTTTTTTCTTATCGTTTTAAGGGAAAACCGGGGGGAAAAGGGCAGTTTAAACGTTTAGCAAAATTGTCCATTTGTCACATCCCTAGCTAAAGGTAGTTCGAGTCTATGAATGGGGTAGGTTACCTTAGCGCCCTCTCAGGTCACCTCTCCCAGAGGACCACCATCTCAATCGGATCTACGGGAGGTGGTGTTTTGATGCGCCCCTCTTTGGACTTAGCCTTCGGGTCGGTGCGGGACTTCCTCCCCCTGACAGCTGCGACCAGCACGCCTCCACGGCGGGCGAGAAGCCGGATTACCGGGGTACTTCTGGTAATAACTGACTACTTATTAACGATGAAAATCGACTGCTTACTGTTACAGTTTCGGTGCAAATGTTTTACAGCAACTATGTAATAAAATCACAATACAATGTGTGCATGTAACATAGATTTGTTTTATGAAGTAGCCATGTTGGTGAGTTAATAACTTGCGGTTCATTTTTTCCCGTAGGCCTTCAAAATAAAGATCCCCTCTGATAATGGTATTAAAAACACCAGGGATCATCATCTAGATTCAGCCGCGGGCCGGCGGATGATCGGGGGGCCGGAACATGTCCTCTGTAGCTCAGCTGGTAGAGCACGGCGCTTGTAACGCCAAGGTAGTGGGTTCGATTATGTCCAACAATGAAAATTCCACACAAAAACATAATTATTTTTGGCTCAGAAAACTCGGGGGAACAAATTCGTCCGCCAGTTGGGAAACCCTGACTTACACATTCATGATATTGGCTAAACTATTTTTACATTTATCGAGATATAGATTTCTCTCTCTCCCTCTCTTCTCTTCTCTTCTCTTCTCTTCTCTTCTCTTCTCTTCTCTTCTCTTCTCTCTCAAAATATGTTAATTACAGCAAATGTAAAAACCTGCCCTTCCACATCTCCTCTGCTTCATGGTGCTGAGTGTGAGACAGAATACCAACCTCCCTGTGATCCTACTGCAGCACTATCCTATTGGTCGCTGTGGTGCTGACAGTCCTGACGCATCACACACACAGACACTGGTGGGGGTTCGGGGGAAGGAGAGGGGGCTGGCTGGCTGTATATAAACGAGGGCTCTGCAGCGTCACTGAGCTGGTGGGGGTTCGGGGGGAGGAGAGGGGGCTGGCTGGCTGTATATAAACGAGGGCTCTGCAGCGTCACTGAGCTGGTGCAGTGCAAGACGCTCGCTCATCCTCACCGATGGTCTGCAGAACAAGGGGGACTTTAAAAAAAATTCACTTCTGAAACAAAAAAACATCCTACATTAACAAAAAAATCACGAAAAAATAACAAAACAACAAAAAATCCATCATGAGCTACGATCCTTACATCTCGTACCGCCGCACTTGGGACAACTACCGAGGCTCCTCTCTCCCCTCCACCAAATCCTTCATGTACTCCTCTCTTTACTCCTCCTCTTCCTCCCGAGCCCTGGGCCTGGCGGCTGGGAAGCAGCGGACCCTGCGTCCACTGGCCTCTTCCTCTCTGCCGGATGCATCTGCGCGGATGGACCTGGCCCAGGCCTCCAGCCTCAACACGGAGCTGCTGGGACTCCGCAGCCAGGAGAAGGAGCAGCTGGTGGGCCTCAACGACCGCTTCGCCACCTACATCGACAAGGTGAGGCACCTGGAGCAGCAGAACCGGGCCCTTCTGGCAGAGCTGGAGGCCCTCAGGAGGAGGCAGAGGGACCCGTCCCGTCTTCAGGGGCTCTACGAGGGTGAAGCCCGGAGCCTCAGGGCTGCAATCGACCAGAAGACAGGAGATAAGATGCGCATGGAGGCAGAGAGGGACTACCTGAGGGACGTGTATGGGCAGCTGAAGGAGCGCTACGAGGAGGAGGCGCGGTGCCGCGCGGATGCGGAGGAGGCCCTGCAGAGGGCCCGGGAAGAGGTGGGGCGGGCCGTGCTGTCTAACTGCGACGCAGAGGCCAGCGTGGTCTCCCTGGATGAGGAGATGTGCTTCCTGAAGAAGGTGTTTGTGGAGGAGCAGGCGGAGCTGCAGGCCCAGGTAGCAGCGGCTAACGTGTGCGTTGACGTGGAGGTGAGCAGGCCAGATCTGTCGGCGGCACTCAGGGAGATCCGGGCGCAGTACGAGCGGCTGGCCAATAAGAACATGCAGGCGGCCGAGGACTGGTACCGGGGGAAGTTTGAGTCAGTGGCGGAGATGGCATCGAAGAACAACGAGGCGGTGCGCTCCATCCGGGAGGAGACCATGGAATACCGCCGGCTGCTCCAATCACGCTCCTCTGAGATCGAGGCCCTGCGGAACGTCATCGAGTCGCTGAACAAACAGCTGGAGGAGCTGGAGGAGCACCAGGGGAAAGAGGTCACCAAGTACCAGGTACAGAACCAGGGGAAAGAGGTCACCAAGTACCAGGTACCAGAACCACTCAATCATTCAGAACCAGGGAAATAGGTATAGAACCAGGGGGAAAAGGTATAGAACCACTCAATCAATCAGAACCAAGGAAATAGGTACAAAACCAAGGGGAAGAGGTATAGAACCAGGGGGAAGAGGTATAGAACCAGGGGGAAGAGGTATAGAACCAGGGGGAAGAGGTATAGAACCAGGGGAAGAGGTATAGAACCTTGTTGATATGTATGCTGAAGAGCAGTAGTAGGCTACATTTTGCCCTTGGAGCACAGAGAGTAGCGACTCTGATGCTGCTATGACAAAACTGCTTTGTTCCCTATATGGAAAGTGTTTCACTGCACCAGCCTTCCCCAACCCACCTCTCCTCTCCTCTCCCTACCTCTCCTCCCCTCCCAAACCTCTCCGTCTCCCTCCCTACCCTCCCCCTCCCAACCTCTCCTCCCCTCACAAAACCCTCTCTCCCCCTCCCTACCTCCCCTCTCCTCTCCCTACCTCCCCCCTTTTCCCAAACCCCTCTCCTCTCCCTACCCTCCCTCCCTCCCACCTCTCCGCTCTCCTCTCCCTCCCTCTCCTCCCCTCCCCCTCCTCCTCCTCCCTCCCCCATCTCTAACTCTCCTCTCCTCCTCCCCCCTCCCCCCCCTCCTCTCCTCTCCTCCCTCCCCACCTCTCCCCCCTCCTCCCCCCCTCCTCTCTTTCCCCACCCTCTCCTCCTCCTTTTTCCTTCCCCCCACCCCTCCCTGCCTCCCTCTCTTTGCCCCCCTTTCCCTCTCCTCCCCCCCACCCCCCCTCTAAACCACCCCCCTCTCCTCCCCCCGCCAAATCCCCCCTCCCCCCCACCTTCCTCCAACCCCCCACCTCTCCCTCCACCACCCCCACCTTTTCCTCTCCTCTTCCCCCCCCTCCTCTCCTCCACCCCACCTCTCCCTTCTCCTCCTACCCCACCTCCTCCTCTCCTCACCCCCCCACCTCTCCTCTCCCCCTGCCCCTCCCCACCCCCCCTCTCCTCCTCTTTCCCCACCTTTCTCCTTCCTCTCTTCCCCCCCACCTTTTCCATTTCCCCCCCCCCCTTTCCTCTCCTCCTAAGTACTAATTTTAAGAGGCAATCAGTTTGTGCAGGGAGCCAACCCAGAGAATGCATGTCATGCCATTGTGCAGAGGAGATAGTCTGCAATCCCGCAAGGTTTGTCAGTATTCCTAAGGAGACAAAATGCAGAGGAAGGTCACACCAAATCTGTTATTCAGCTGAATATGTCATTTCACTGTTTCTATATTTAAAATAATAAAGACCTGGTCTGCGTCTCAATTGCACACTATTTCCAATATAGTGCACTACTTTTGACCCGGGCGCATAGGGAACACTATATAGGGAACACTATATAGGGAACACTACATAGGGAACACTACATAGGGAAAACTACAATAGGGAACACTACATAGGGAACACTATATAGGGAACAAATTATAGGGAACACTACATAGGGAAAAACTACATAGGGAACACTACATAGGGAACACTAAAATGGGAACACTACATAGGGGAAAACTATATAGGGAACACTCATAGGGGAAAACTACATAGGGAACACTACATAGGGAACACTACATAGGGAACACTACATAGGGAACACTATATAGGGAACACTACATAGGGAACACTACATAGGGAACACTACATAGGGAACACTACATAGGGAACACTATATAGGGAACACTACATAGGGAACACTACATAGGGAACACTATATAGGGAACACTACATAGGGAACACACATAGGGAACACTACATAGGGAACAAATACATAGGGAACACTATATAGGGAACACTAAAATAGGGAACCCTACATAGGGGAAAACTATATAGGGAAAAACTACATAGGGGAAAACTATAAAAGGGAACACTATATAGGGAAAAACTAATAGGGAACACTACATAGGGAACACTATATAGGAACACTACATAGGAACCTACATAGGGAACACTATATAGGGAAAAACTATTAGGGGAACACTATATAGGGAACACTACAATAGGGAACACTACATAGGAACATACAAGGGAACACTATATAGGGAACACTAATAGGGACACTACATAGGGAACCCTACATAGGGAACATACATAGGGAACCAACATAGGAACACTATATAGGGAACACTACATAGGGAACACTACATAGGGAACACTACATAGGGAACACTACAAAAGGGAACACTAATAGGGAACACTACATAGGGAACACTACATAGGGAACACTACAATGGGAACACTACATAGGGAACACTAATAGGGAACACTACTAGGGGAAAACTACATAGGGAACACTATATAGGGAAAACTACATATAGGGAAAAAACTACATAGGGAACACTATAAGGGAACACTACATAGGGAACACTAATAGGGAAACACTATATAGGGGAACACTACATAGGGAACACTACATAGGGAACACTATATAGGGAACACTACATAGGGAACACTACATAGGGAACACTATATAGGGAACACTACATAGGGAACACTACATAGGGAACACTATATAGGGAACACTATATAGGGAACACTATATAGGGAACACTACATAGGGAACACTACATAGGGAACACTACATAGGGAACACTATATAGGGAACACTACATAGGGAACACTACATAGGGAACAGCTAGGGTGCAATTTGGGGCACAGACCTTGCTGTTTTATGGCCTTGATTTTTTAAATGTGATGTTATTGTTTCAGGTGAGGATAAATGGTCTGTTTGTTTCAGGATAAATGGTATGTTTGTTTCAGGTGAGGATACATGGTCTGTTTCAGGATAAATGGTCTGTTTGTTTCAGGATAAATGGTCTGTTTGTTTCAGGTGAGGATAAACGATCTGGAGAGCGACATAAACGAGGCTAAGCAGGAGATGGCTCGCTACCTCAGGGAGTACCAGGACCTTCTCAATGTCAAAATGGCTCTGGACATTGAGATAGCTGCATACAGGTAACCTTAACCATGGCTCTGGACATAGAGATAGCTGCATACAGGTAACCTTAACCATGGCTCTGGACATAGAGATAGCTGCATACAGGTAACCTTAACCATGGCTCTGGACATAGAGATAGCTGCATACAGGTGACCTTAACCATGGCTCAGCCACTTATCGAATGAAATCAAAGTTAATTTGTCATACGCACAGAATACAGCGAGGAATACACAGCACAATGAAATGCTTACTGTCAAACATATCAACCTGGATCTACAACCGCTTGTGTTTGATATGACCAACACATGAATATACAATATACTGTATATATAGTCCCCTGTAGCTCAGTTGGTAGAGCATGGCGCTTGCAATGAGTGCATACATTTTCATACTGGCCCCCCGTGGGAAACGAACCCACAACCCTGGTGTTGCAAGCGCCATGCTCTACCAACTGAGCTACAGGGGACTATATATACAGTATATTGTATATTCATGTGTTGGTCATATCAATGTGTTGGATAAGAGCGTCTGCTAAATGACTAAAATGTAAAATGTATATAAACAAAAGTATGTGGACACCCCTTCAAATTATTGGATTCGGCTATTTCAGTCACACCCATTGCTGACAGGTGTATAAAATCAAGCACACCGCCATGCAATCTCCATAGACAAACATTGGCAGTAGAATGGCCTTACTGAAGAACTCAGTGACTTTCAACTTGGCACTGTCATAGGATGCCACCTTTCCAACAAGTCAGTTCGTCAAGTGCTGTTATTGTGATGTGGAAACATCTAGGAGCAACAACGGCTCAGCCGCGAAGTGGTAGGCCACACAAGCTCACAGAACGGGACTGCCGAGTGCTGAAGCGCGTAACACGTAAAAATCGTATGTCCTCGGTTGCAACACTCACTACCGAGTTCCAAACTGCCTCTGGAAGCAACCTCAGCACAATAACTGTTCGTCGGGAGCTTCATGAAATGGGTTTCCATGGCCGAGCAGCCACACACAAGCCTAAGATCACCATGTGCAATGCCAAGCGTCGGCTGGAGTGGTGTAAAGCTCGCCACCATTGGACTCTGGAGCAGTGGAAACACGTTCTCTGGAGTGATGAATCACGCTTCACCATCTGGCAGTCCGACGGACAAATTTGGGTTTGGCGGATGCCAGAAGAATGCTACCTGCCCGAATGTTTAGTGCCAACTGTAAAGTTTAGTGGAGGAGGTCTGGGGCTGTTTTACATGGTTCGGGCTAGGCCCCTTAGTTTCAGTGAAGGGAAATCTTAACGCTACAGTGTACAATGACATTCTAGACGATTCTGCGCTTCCGACTTTGTGGCAACAGTTTGGGGAAGGCCCTTTCCTGTTTCAGCATGACAATGCCCCCGTGCACAAAGCGAGGTCCATACATAAATCTTTTGTCTAGATTGGTCTGGAAGAACTTGACTGGCCTACACAGAGCCCTGACCTCAACCCCATCGAACATCTTTGGGCTGAATTGGAATGCCGACTGCGAGCCAGGCCTAATCGCCCAACATCAGTGCCCGACCTCACTAATGCTCTTGTGGCTGAATGGAAGTCCCCCGCAGCAATGTTCCAACATCTAGTGGAAAGCCTTCCCAGAAGAGTGGAGGGGGTTTTTGCATATTTAAGCCCGATTTTGGAAGGGAATTTTGGCAACAGGGGGGCCCCTACGGAAGGGGAGGACCAAAACAGGGGAAGGGCCGGCCAGAAGACCCACACAGAAAACGGGGCGAAAACAAGTTAAAACTTACAGGGAAAACCCGGAGGGAGAAGAGAGGCGACCCGGCCCGAAAAAAACCCCCAACCAAACCCCCCAAAACCCGGAACCCCCCAAAACAAACCCAACCCAACCCCAAACCACCCCCCGGACCAAAACCCCCCCCCCCCACCCAAACCCCCACAAACCCCCCCCCACCCCCCCAAAAAACCCCCCCCCCCCCCACCCCCCAAAACCCCCCCACCCCACCCACCAAACCCCAACCCCACCCCACCCCCCAATCCACCCCCCCACCCACCCCCAAAACCCCCCCCCCCCACCCACCAAACCCCACCCCACCCCCCCACCAACCCCCCCCCCCAACCCCACCCACCAAAACCCCACCCCAAACCCCCCCCCACCAAACCCACCCCCCCCCCACCCGGCCAAACCCCACCCCCCCACCCCCCCGCCCCCCCACCCCACCCCCCCCCAGAAACCCCACCCACCCCCCCCGAAACCCCAAACCCCCCTCCCCACCCTTACCTACACCCACCCCACCCACCCTTACCTAAACCCCACCCCCTCCACCCACCAACCACCCCCACCCCACCCTACCTAAACCCATCACCTCCCCCACCTACCACCCCACCCCCTTTACCTAAACCCAATACCTCCCTCCCCCATACCACCCCACCCCACCCTACCTAACCCCCCCCCACACCTACCTCCCTACCTCCGCCCACCCACCCCCCCCACCCTACCAAACCCCATACCAAACCCCACCCCACCCTAAACCTAAACCCAATACCTCCCTCCCCATACCACCCACCCCACCCCACCCTTACCTAAACCCCATACCTCCCTCCCCCATACCACCCTACCTAAACCCCATACCTCCCTCCCCCATACCACCCCACAACTCATCCCCGCAGTACCACCCTAATCTAGTACCACCCTAATCTAGTACCACCCTAATCTAGTTCCACCCTAATCTAGTTCCACCCTAATCTAGTGCCACCCTAATCTAGTGCCACCCTAATCTAGTACCACCCTAATCTAGTTCCACCCTAATCTAGTACCACCCTAATCTAGTGCCACCCTAATCTTGAACAGCCCCCCTAAGCATCCTAAACGTCATCCTTCCGAAGACAGATGTGCCCTTGTTCTACACAAGAGGTCCACCACGAAGACAGATGTGCCCTTGTTCTACACAAGAGGTCCCCCTTCTTCTACACACTGATGTTGTGACATCATACATCAACAAAATGGCCGCCAGGCAGAAGACTGCTGAGAGAGAGACTGCGCTGCATTAGCTCATACAGCTAAGCCTGTGAGCAATATCCTCCTGCTAGAGTTCCCCCTCCGTTAGCCTGGTCCCAGATCATTATGTGCCTCCATGCCACCATGATATCCCAGCATCAGGCTCAGCGTTTGATTTGACTATCCCCCATTGTGCAAACATTTGACCAATTGTTTGTAAAGGAGGACTTTATTAAAATGTTATTTAGGTTTGGATGGTTGGATTGTATCTGTGTTGTTCTCATACCACTAGAAACCTGTTGTGGCATATTGATTAGGAACATATTGATGTGGAGCTCTATCAACAGGATATTGATCCTGACCTGATCAGTACCCCTGGTTCCGTAGCCGTAGCCAGTGGAACAGTAACCTTAAAGTTTATTGACCTTTCCTTCTCCGTTACTCTTCCATTATATTTCCATCCTCTTATCAAGTTACCACAAGCTTCAGTCAGGTGAAGATAAGACAATGATTAGTTCTGGCATGTTGTTCATGAAACATAAATATTAAGCCAACCGGTTTCTTGCCGTATGTATGGGAAGCTGTGGGTAAGGAAATGTCATGGAAGACTGCATTATTAAAGCTTAGTTACTGGTTTCTCCCTGTGATCTTAGAGAAATAGCTCTGTTAGCTTCTGTTAGCCCTTTTCTGTTCTGTAAGGCCTTCCGAACCTAGCCTGGGTACCAGTCTGTTAGCTTCTGTTAGCCCTTTTCTGTTCTGTAAGGCCTTCCGAACCTAGCCTGGGCACCAGTCTGTTTGTGCTAACGTTCCACTCCTTGCCGCTCCTTGTCATACCAAACATGTTTGGCATATGACACGGATTACAAGGAGTGGAATGTTAGCACGAAACAGGTCTGGATTTCAGGCTGATCTGAACCTACAAGCTACAAGTAAACAGTAAAACAACTGAAGAATAACTTCTGCCTGGTAACAGAAGTATCTAGCCTGGTAACAGAAGTATCTAGCCTGGTAACAGAAGTATCTAGCCTGGTAACAGAAGTATCTAGCCTGGTAACTCAAGCTCTTTGCTGTGCATATGTATGCCGACCGATCCTAGATCTGAACGGTGCTTTAGATCTGAGATACTATCCCAAGTCTGAACCTTATACTGTATGATTGGTATACCTGTAAGGGCCAGCAACTTGCTGAATAAAAATTACATAACTGAACTGCAAATGATTGCATAGATTTTTGCATTTTTTTAAATAATGTGATTGAATTATTCTAGTGTCAGTTCAAACAAAAGCATGTCTCTAGTAGGCTTTGGTGACCTATTTATTACTCAAGTAGAAGAGCTGCTTCCTGCCTTCCTCTGATAGTGACCCTTGACCCTATGAGGCTACAGAGCTCCAACCGGGGAGCTGTGATGTGTAGGCTACAGAGCTCCAACCGGGGAGCTGTGATGTGTAGGCTACAGAGCTCCAACCGGGGAGCTGTGATGTGTAGGCTACAGAGCTCCAACCGGGGAGCTGTGATGTGTAGGCTACAGAGCTCCAACCGGGGAGCTGTGATGTGTAGGCTACAGAGCTCCCAACCGGGGAGCTGTGATGTGTAGGCTACAGAGCTCCAACCGGGGAGCTGTGATGTGTAGGCTACAGAGCTCCAACCGGGGAGCTGTGATGTGTAGGCTACAGAGCTCCAAACCGGGGAGCTGTGATGTGTAGGCTACAGAGCTCCAACCGGGGAGCTGTGATGTGTAGGCTACAGAGCTCCAACCGGGGAGCTGTGATGTGTAGGCTACAGAGCTCCAACCGGGGAGCTGTGATGTGTAGGCTACAGAGCTCCAACCGGGGAGCTGTGATGTGTAGGCTACAGAGCTCCAACCGGGGAGCTGTGATGTGTAGGCTACAGAGCTCCAACCGGGGAGCTGTGATGTGTAGGCTACAGAGCTCCAACCGGGGAGCTGTGATGTGTAGGCTACAGAGCTCCAACCGGGGAGCTGTGATGTGTAGGCTACAGAGCTCCAACCGGGGAGCTGTGATGTGTAGGCTACAGAGCTCCAACCGGGGAGCTGTGATGTGTAGGCTACAGAGCTCCAACCGGGGAGCTGTGATGTGTAGGCTACAGAGCTCCAACCGGGGAGCTGTGATGTGTAGGCTACAGAGCTCCAACCGGGGAGCTGTGATGTGTAGGCTACAGAGCTCCAACCGGGGAGCTGTGAGTGTAGGCTACAGAGCTCCAACCGGGGAGCTGTGATGTGTAGGCTACAGAGCTCCAACCGGGGAGCTGTGATGTGTAGGCTACAGAGCTCCAACCGGGGAGCTGTGATGTGTAGGCTACAGAGCTCCAACCGGGGAGCTGTGATGTGTAGGCTACAGAGCTCCAACCGGGGAGCTGTGATGTGTAGGCTACAGAGCTCCAACCGGGGAGCTGTGATGTGTAGGCTACAGAGCTCCAACCGGGGAGCTGTGATGTGTAGGCTACAGAGCTCCAACCGGGGAGCTGTGATGTGTAGGCTACAGAGCTCCAACCGGGGAGCTGTGATGTGTAGGCTACAGAGCTCCAACCGGGGAGCTGTGATGTGTAGGCTACAGAGCTCCAACCGGGGAGCTGTGATGTGTAGGCTACAGAGCTCCAACCGGGGAGCTGTGATGTGTAGGCTACAGATAACAGTACAGGTGACCTAGTAAAGTAGAAGAGATATTCTTCCTCAGAATCCGACTTCCTCTACTGATCCGGGGAGATATAATGTTGCGTGAGCATAGACTGCATGTTAATTACAGTATAGGTAGACAGTGCACACACAACCTTACATATGGGTCAGACAAAGAGCAGCACTGCAGCATATCCCACAAATCCCTGTTCCTGGCAGGCAGCCGTGTGAAAATGCAATGTGTTGGCGGCTTGGTGCCGCGTTGTTGTGTCAGCAGGATTCTATCAGGGAGAGAGGGAGGGAGGGAGGGAGGGAGAGAGGGAGGGAGAAAATATCTGCAACTCCTAATCAAACACAACCCAGCAGACACAGCAGGTTGATTCTGAATGTTTTTTTTGTTGGTTTTTATACTTTTTTTTAGACATCAATATGACTTCCATATACAACCAGAATCCGACCTGCCCAAGACGTCTTATTTCTGATGTCCTTATAACCTTATTGTTCTATCTTATAATTCAACCAAAATATGACCCGTTTATGACCTCCCAATATTACAAATGTAATGCTGTGCTCATGTATCTCACAGCAGCAATGTTCACTGCAAATCAAACCATATGTATAGCACTTTACACCACTATATCCAGCTACTATGAAAACAGTGAGATCATCTACAAAGACAAAACAGGCTATTTTTAAATAGCAAACATATCCTAGGATCCCATTCACAATAACTGTGGAACATACATTTACATAAGTATTCAGACCCTTTACTCAGTACTTTGTTGAAGCACCTTTGGCAGCGATTACAGCCTCGAGTCTTCTTGGGTATGACGCTACAAGCTTGGCACACCTGTATTTGGGGAGTTTCTCCCATTCTTCTCTGCAGATCCTCTCAAGTTCTGTCAGGTTGGATGGGGAGCGTCGCTGCACAGCTATTTTCAGGTCTCTCGAGAGATGTTAGATCGGGTTCAAGTCCGGGCTCTGGCTGGGCCACTCAAGGACATTCAGACACTAGTCCCGAAGCCACTCCTACATTGTCTAGGCTGTGTGCTTAGGGTTTTTGTCCTGTTGGAAGGTGAACCTTCGCCCCAGTCTGAGGTCCTGAGCGCTCTGGAGCAGGTTTTCATCAAGGATCTCTCTGTACTTCGCGCCGTTCATCTTTCCCTCAATCCTGACTAGTCTCCCAGTCCCTGCCGCTGAAAACCTTTCCCCAAAGCTTGATGCTGCCACCACCATGCTTCATTGCTACTAGCTAGCTGCAACCAAATGGACGTTTTGTGGTTGGCTAATCAGCCCTGAGTTAGCCTTGAGCCAGGCCCATCTCCCGGCTATCTACCTCCTTGTCAACCGGACGGGACCTCCTAGTGTCGACATGGAGCCCCGCCGATCCAACACGACTGGTCTGCCGACGAAATCGTCTGATGTGGTTACAACAGGCTTCCCGTTACGACGTCGACCACGAAGTTCCATCTGCTAGCCCCGGCCCGCTAGCACACGCTAGCCATGGCCTCTTGCTCGCTAGTGCTTTAGCAGCCCCCAAACTACCTCAGAACTCTCCTATTGCTGTTCACCGGACCTTATGATAACTCAGCTATACAGCTGATGTCTGCTGGACTGTTCCTTTTTACGGTACCTCATCCTGTTTATGTTTAGCCTCAGCCCAAACTGTGTCGCCATTACCAGCTGTTGTCTTAGCTCTCAAATAACACCTGTGATTGCTGTATGCCTCTCTCCCATGTCAATATGCCTTGCTTATTGCTGTTTCACTTATTTCTTATTGTACTATTTCACTGTAGATCCCCCAGCCCAGCTAAACCTACCTTAGATAGCTCTTTTGTCCCACCCCCCATACACGCGGAGACCGACTCAATCGGTGCCTCCAGTGATGCTATCTCTTTCATCGTTACCCAACGCTTAGGTTTACCTCCACTGTACTCATATCCTTCCATATCCTTGTCTGTACATAATGCCCTGAATCTATTCTACAACGCCCGAAAACCTGCCCCTTTTTTTCTCTGTACCCAACACACTAGAAGACCAGTTCTTTAAGGCTAGACAATCTGGACCCTTTCTTTTTAAAATTAGCAGCCGAAATTGTCGCAACCCCTATTACTAGCCTGTTCAACCTCTCTTTCGTATCGTCTGAGATCCCCAGAGATTGGAAAGCTGCCGTGGTCATCCCCCTCTTCAAAAGAGGGTGACACTCTAGATCCAAACTGTTACAGACCTATATCCATCCTGCCCTGCCTTTCAAAAGTATTTGAAAGCCAAGTTAACAAACAGATCACCGACCATTTCGAATCCCACCGTACCTTCTCCGCTATGCAATCCGGTTTCCGAGCTGGTCATGGGTGCACCTCAGCCACGCTCAAGGTCCTAAACGATATTATAACCGCAATCGATAATAGACAGTACTGTGCAGCCGTCTTCATCGAACTGGCCAAGGTTTTCGACTCTGTCAACCACCGCATTCTTATCGGCAGACTAAATAGCCTTGGTTTCTCTAATGACTGCCTCGCCTGGTTCACCAACTACTTCTCAGATAGAGTTCAATGTGTCAAATCAGAGGGCCTGTTGTCTGGACCTATGGCAGTCTCTAAGGGGGTGCCACAGGGTTAAATTCTCGGGCCGACTCTATTCTCTGTGTATATCAATGATGTCGCTCTTGCTGCTGGTGACGCTCGGATCCACCTCTATGCGGACGACACCATTTTGTATACATCTGGCCCTTCATTGGACACTGCGTTAACAAACCTCCAAATGAGCTTCAATGCCATACAACACTCCTTCCGTAGCCTCCAACTGCTCTTAAACACTAGTAAAACTAAATGCATGCTCTTCAACCGAACGCTGCTTGCACCCGCCCACCCGACTAGAATCACTACTCTCGGCGGGTCTGACCTAGAGTATGTGGACAACTACAAATACCTAGGTGTCTGGTTAGACTGTAAACTCTCCTTCCAGACTCACATTAAGCATCTCCAATCAAAAGTTAGATCTAGAATCGGCTTCCTATTTCGCAACAAAGCCTCCTTCACTCATGCTACCAAACATGCCCTCGTAAAACTGACTATCCTACCGATCCTTGATTTCGGTGATGTCATTTACAAAATAGCCTCCAACACTCTACTCAGCAAATTGGATGTAGTCTATCACAGTGCCATCCGTTTTGTCACCAAAGCCCCATATACTACCCACCATTGTGACCTGTACGCTCTTGTTGGCTGGCCCTCACTACATATTCGTCGCCAAACCCACTGGCTCCAGGTCATCTATAAATCACTGCTAGGCAAATCCCTGTCTTATCTTAGCTCACTGGTCACCATAGCAACACCCACCCGTAGTATGCGCTCCAGCAGATATATCTCACTGGTCATCCCCAAAGCCAACACCTCCTTTGGCCGCCATTCCTTCCAGTTCTCTGCTGCCAATGACTGGAACGAACTGCAAAAATCTCTGAAGCTGGAGACTCTTATCTCCCTCACTAACTTTAAGCGTCAGTTGTCAGAGCAGCTTACCGATCACTGCACCTGTACACAGCCTTTCTGAAATTAGCCCACCCAACTACCTCATCCCCATATTGTTATTTATTTTGCTAATTTGCACCCCAGTATCTCTATTTGCACATCATCTTTTGCACATCTAACATTCTAGTGTTAAAACTAATTGTAATTATTTTGCCCTATAGCCTATTTATTGCCTTACCTCCATACCTTGCTACATTTGCACACACTGTATATATATTTTCTGTTGTATTTTTGACTTTATGTTTTGTTTACCCCATATGTAACTCTGTGTTGTTGTTTTTAATCGCACTGCTTTGCTTTATCTTGGCCAGGTCGCAGTTGTAAATGAGTACTTGTTCTCAACTGGCTTACCTGGTTAAATAAAGGTTAAATAAAAAATAAAAATAAATGCTTCACCGTAGGGATGGTGCCAGGTTTCCTCCAGACATGACGCTT